TGGCTTGGTCAGAAGCCAAGGAGAACTGTGAGCTGGAGTGGAGGAATCCAACCTCAACACAGGAATTTGCATGACTTTGCAGAGTGATCTAGACCAACACATTACCCACGCAGTGGACCAAGGTTCCTCTTTTAGAGTGGTTCATCTGCCTCACAATTAGTGACTGGACCCTTTGCCGTCCTGTTAATTAGTCACGATGGACGACAGTAATGAACCTTGTATTATGTCGAGTGTGTCTCTGCTTTATAGCAGTGACATTTCATTGTACATTTTTCCTTGTAGGTATTTTTTTGCTTGTTTAAGAGCAACAGACAGAGCAAACGTGCACATTGTCGAATGTTGACTTTGATCATAGTCCAAGTGCTCTGCTGCTTTTTTATTCATTTTCAACCCTCATATCCTAGACATGCATTGCTGTCTGGAACTCTTTCCAGCAAGCGAGTGCCCCATATGGGGCAGACATGCTACAGTGGGCCAGAGATGTGTAAACCTGGAGGTTCCAAAACATACACAATCCCGCTGCCAAGAACTGGATTATCTCAAGCAGTTTTCTACACAAAGGCAGCGCCGAATGCTTTCTTGATCTTCGCAACCTTTGCCTGAGAACGCGTTGGGTTGTGACCGATGACGAGAGACAGGTGCAGCCAATTAATACACGGTGAAACGGCACCGGGGAAACGGCCACTTGGTCAGGATAATTAGTGTCTGATGTCCCATTTAAGTTCCACTGTCCACGAGGCTGAAGGAATACTTTCAAATCCAAAAACTAGGAGATGAAAACTACAACTGCAACTGTAAGTCAATTGATTGAGTGGAGTGATGGAAAATTAAGCAGCAATTACTGTAATAATCAATCAGTCTCCGATCGTTATCTGCTTGCAGCTTCTCCCGTGTGGCGGTTTCACTGTAAACTGTTCGTCAGACACAAGAAGAAATCTGAAGACGTCTTCTCAGGCTTTGGGAAACTGTGACAGACAAGACAGACGATCTATTTGAATACGTCAACACGCGCTGTGGGACGCTGTGATGGGAGTTTTTGGAGAAAAATAACTGGCAGCTCAATCCACAATGAAAACAATCATCAGACACTGCCCTTCAAAATAAGTTATTATACACAGTCCATTGCTTTAGTGGCCACTTTACTGGGGACGCCCGCAAAATCTAAACCAATGTAACACAATACAAAAGCTGTAATTTCTACCTTTACAAACACTGTTCAGTTTTGATTGATACTGTCAGAGAGGTATTCGCAGTGGTGTTGAACTGGATTACACTGAGTTTCTTTTTGCCAAACCCATTCACAAACATGAGGGGGGGAAGAACATTAGAAACACATTTCAATATAATACAGACCAGCAACAACCAACAACAGCACTTACTACAACCTCAGCGATAAACGTGTGGACGAATTATCACAACTTCCCATGAACTGTCAGTTAATTATTTGAGGTAGATCTGTTGTAGTGGATTACATGGAGTTGTACAGGTGTACCTAATGGACACACACTCACACACACACACACACACACACACCTTTAGGCACATTTACTTTCTGATTCATCGTTGGGGACTTCATGTGGATGACGTGATAACCGTGACAGCAACTTGATTTTTTTTAACAGCTCTATTAAAATCCTTCCACCTGTATTATTAAAGTCTGCTGCCATAAACTGTATACACCATTTTATAAGTATGTGATAACAAGTGATCTAAATAACAGGAAGAGCAGCTCTGTCATTGTCTTCAGCCTGCAGTAACTGAAAAGCGATTACCGGAGACAGCAGAGGGAGCCAGGCCCTGCTGGCAGAGGCAGCTCACACTGTGTCCCACAGCCATATGGAAGCGTTTTGCTTCCCCAGTCATGCCCCGTCGGGTTTAACAAAAGTGGCGACTACCACATACACTGCTTTTGGGACTTCATTCAGTACTGTCTCTTAGAAAGCAACCCCCCTCTAAAAGGGGCCTACTTCAAACACAGCAAAAGCAGATTTGATCAATAGCAACATAAAAGAAGTGTCAAACTGTGAGCATAAAAGCTTAACCAGAATTACCAAACAACACCAGACATCACAGTAAGCCGAGACCGGCTCAGTGTAAAGAGGATCTGTTCCGATCCAGTTGCGACTGATCTTTAAAGTCTGAAAATTTTCTCGGTCCATTATTTGGCAACTTGCTCGTGAATGTGAACAAGTCCAAGCATTTTGCAATCATGGAATATTGCAGTGGAATATCATCTGGCTGCTGGATAGCAACATAAGATAGTTTTGACCTGATGTAAAAACTATTTTGGTTTCAAGGAGACTCCTAATTTCAAGGTTGTCTCAAGCAGCCTTGACTTTGAGAAGAAAGATACAGTCAGCACTGTAACTTACTTTTCCCCTGACTGAGGCCTGAGTACACTGCAGACACTGAAGCACTGTCCTTCACACACATTACATACTGTACGTCTGAGTGTGGGAGGAATCAAATGAAAGAACAAACAACAAAAGCCCTGCATTAGTAAAGTTAATCAGACAGAGCTGAGAAAAGTGGCTGCTTTTAACAGCCTCTCTGCTTTTTTTTTTTTTTTCTTTTTTTTTTTTCCCAGGTGACTAGATAGCAGTTGGTGTTCCTCCTTGTGCACAGAGCAGCTGAAAGCCCAAAGCAAAGCAACGGTGGGAGAGCAGAGCTCCCTCTGCAACAATGCCCCCTTTGTCCCGGACTAACACTGTACCTACCAGCCTGCTCTTTGATTCGCTGCCAAGACAAACCACTGTGTTGGGTTACAGTTCTTGTAGCAAAACAATCTGCGCTTGTGTTTAATATACTACAGTCTGCCTGCATTGGGCTGGCTGTCAGTCAGGGCACGCACGCACACACACACACACACACACACACACACACACACACACGCATACACACACGCATACACACACACACATACACACAACTGACTTGGGGCCGGCTCCTTATCCCATTAGCACTAATGAGAGAAGGGTATGTTGATTATGTGTGTTGAGGGCTACCTGTTAAGAGGATATGGAGGAGAGATAACTGGCCCGAACCCCTCGGCATCAAAGAGAGATGAAAGATAAATCGCTCGCTCCTCGTTCTCCTCAGGTCATTTTCATACGAGCGTTGTATCACACACACCATCACCTTCCACTCTCACCTTCATTTCACTCACACTGCTGGCTCAGACAGAGGCACTGTTTGCTTCTACTTCAGCACAGTAAGTAATTTGCGTTGAGTGCCAACATTCCTGTTTCAAATAGCAGGTCCACTGATGTTGGTCCAGTGAGCTACAACTGAGATATGTGTGTGCGTGTGTGTGTGTGTGTGTGTGTGTGTGTGTGTGTGTGTGTGTGTGTGTGTGTTTGGTATATGTGTGTAGCATTAGGTGCGGTGACAAACCACCCGTTTTTATGCACATATTTCAAATTGCACATTTAAAACGTTGCGCAAAGGCAGGAAATAAAATGAGGAACTAAGCTTGGTGTAAAAAGGTGTAAAAAACAGATGTATTGATAAAGGCAAAATGTGACAAAGTGCAATAAAAATAAATTTAGCAAATCATGATGTATGTGAAGTCTGTGACCTAAACGTCCACTGACACTTCTGCTCCATCACAGACAGTGTTTTTCACAGTTTGAAGTTTTACTTGTTGCCTATTTGAACTTGCACGTTGTTTTGTTTTTTAAAAATGCAATGACAAAGGCTTTTTAGAGCCACCGGATGTTCACATGACAGCGGTAGAAGATGGAAAACGCGCATTGATTGGCATTTTCTGCTGCCAGTTTTCTCAAAACTCTGTTACACTTCGCGCCACAACTGGATGGACACCCACATACTGACACTACATTTCAATAGGGGAAAGACTGAAATGACATTCAAGAGCATCACGCTCTCACAGCGTCGATGTGTCTGTTATTAAATGCTGTTCAGGATCAAAGTGCCGTTGATCATTTTTGGGGACAATTTGTTGATAATTTTCTTGTTCCCGCTTCTGAAATGTGAGGACATGCTGCTTTTCTTTAATATTTTGTAAAGTCTTTATCATTGGGACACTGTTCACTGTTGTTGATACTTTAAAGACCAAAGAGTAATTGATTAATCGAGAAAATAATCAGTAGATTCAATGATAATGAAAACAATCTAGCTATGGGGACTTAAATATCTGCATCTTAACAAGAGAAAAAGTTTTAATGTGTTCCTCCACAACCAAACTCATGTCAACAAATTTCTTTTAAAGTTTTTGAATTTGACTGAAAATTTTAGTTTGACTGTTTGTAAACAGCAAAATGTGCTCGATTAGAGAGGCTGAAGAACGTGTTTTAAATAAGAACTATTTTAAATGGAGATCAATTTGTTCGTCAGACTGCTACGACAGTCCAGCCACGACCTCATCAAAGAAACCCGCAGACAAACCATGGCTGTTGTGGGGGGGATTTGCTGCTGCAGAGAGGCAGTAATTAATACATGTTAATGATTGTTTTTGGTGAGTCTGGGCCTCGGGGGTGTCTGAACATTATATGAATCATTCTCATCTCTGAAGCTTGTTCTAGTTGCTTTAAAATTTCAACATCAACTCAGTGAGAAGCTGAAACAATTGGTTGAGAGAATTAACCTTTTAAAGAAAATCAATAAAGCAGGAAACACCAAATATTTTCTGGTTCCAGCTTCTCAAATGTGACGATTTGCTGTTTTCCCTTTATGTGATATTAAACCGGACTGTTGGTTATTAACTAGATTTACCTGAGGCTCTGTTTGTCATTAAAAACAAAGTTTGCGTGGCCTTTTCTCGTCTTATTGTTGTAATTCACCAGGAGAGGAATTCTCCATCTCGCCTCCTCTGTATCACACAGTTCAACAGCTCCCCCACCTGGTTGTTACACCACATTACAAGTACAACAACAACAACAAGCTGTTATTTGTCAAACATCCCAGTGTGTTGGACATAGTTAATATTTCTACCTGAAGCCTCGGAGAGACTCAGACTGAGAGTTAGAGCGGAGTCATACCTGCGGCTGCTCTTCTTCCCTCGCTCTTCCTCACTGGGCTCCGTCGCTTTCTCTGCGCCCTTTTCTTTCTTCAGCTTTTGACTGACGAGCTCCCTCATCCGCTCTCTCTCATCCGAGTCGTATTCTTCATCCGCATCATCTTCAACATCATCATCGGCCTCATCATCGTCCGCCTGGAAGAACGCAGTGAAACTGACGGTCAGATAAAAGAGACTCTGGGAGTGACACAGATTGAATTTTTCATTATTGTTGTCTGACTCACCTCGGCTGCATCTCCAGGTGTCCCTTTCTTTTTCTTCCTTTTAAAGTAGAACGGACATGGGCTCATGTTTAAAAGGATAAATCGAGGATTCAATCATTATTAATTAATTAGTTATTGTACATACTTATTAACTGCTGGGACAGAGCTCAGCCTCGGATCATCTTTCAGAAGGTCGTGGCTGCTTTTGCTTTTTCCCTTGAAAGTCTGAGGAAACACAAACAATGTTTTTACACATGATGCAACATTTTTTTTTAATTCCAAAGCAAACTCGACTTTCTGAAAAATCAATTTCACTTAACTTTTTTTATAAGTTCAATAAAGAAAAAACAAGTGAAAAACATTTTGAATGTTTCATGTAAAAATGATATGAAACATGCAGCTACTCTCAGGTGACCGAGTAATTTTTATTATCTAGAACATCTGAAAAAAGGAAACACTGGTATTTCCAAATCAATCACTTTGTTTAGACTCGCTCAGTAAAGATGTAACTCAGACTCCCTCCCTTTAGTTGTGATGTGTGACTGTCTGGCATGAGGTTCGATAGCAGATGTGGCCATGTTCTAATGGTCTGTAAAGACACGGACATATTTTGTAATCCAGTACCTGGCTGACTTGATTCACCATCTCCTCTTCCTCCTCAGCTTCCTCTCCAAACGACAACAGACTGAAGTTCCTACAAAAACCAAAACACAGTTTCAGCGCTGAAGCATCAGTGACAACACGGGTCAGACAAAAACTAAATTTAGCCGTGCAGCAAGTGGAATGTGGTCTCGCTGTCGGAGCGTACGTGGCTGCTTCGGGTGGTTGTTGATCATTATAATGTTTCTGACATCCACATATTTATGACGCAGATGAAACAGGGAAAGATGATGAAAAGAGAAATGAAAACTGAGCTCTCACTTTGTAGCTTTTGACTGTGATTTCTTTCCCTCCTCTTTGTCTTTTTCCTTTTTGGCTCTCTTTGTTTCACGAGGTATTATGTCATCAAAAGGAGAATGAAGCACCTGGAAAAGGCAAAAAAAAGGTTTCTTGTGTCAGTGTTTAAAACACAGGTACTAAAAAGGAAGAAGTTGTAAAGTGAAAAAAGAAGAAAGAAGAGGAACAGGAAAATACCTCAGCTGTTTTTATTTTGTGGGGATTCAGAGGTCTTTCATCATTGTCACATTCAACTTCTGCTAATCTGAGCATGTTATAAACTGTGTCTCCTGTGACCTGCATTGGGAATAAAACTGATGGTCAGTTCAAAAACCTTGCAGAGCCTTTGAAAGATGCAAACACTTAGCTGGGGACAGACTTATTTATGTATTCATCGCTCCCGTTCTTCAGATTTACCTTGCCGAATATGGTGTGTTTATTGTTTAGCTCATCTGCACGTGCCAAGGTGAAGAAAAACTGACTGCCATTGTCGTGTGGCCCAGCATTCGCCATGGCAACCAAACCTCTTCGATTGAAGCGCAATCTGGAGTGAAATTCATCCTGTAAGAAAACGTACGGGTATTCATTCCAGTGTAAGAGAGCTGCTTTCAGTGTCAGCTAGATTCTCCTGGTATTTGATTGGTCATCAGGATTCATATGTTAATATATATGTATATATATATATATATATATATATCCAACCTTGAATGTCCGGCCATAGATGGACTCTCCACCCGTCCCTGTTCCAGTGGGATCTCCACCTTGAATAATGAAGTCATGCACCACTCTGTGGAATATTGTGCCATCATAGTAACCTAGACGACAGAGACATATAACATTTTCATTTTCCAGGTCTGTAATCTGTAAAAACAATTCTCATAATAATTTCCACCAATTTTCTGAAAAGAGTTGTGTAATTTGGAAATAGGCAAAAGGAAAATTAAGACAGTATTCAATTGGTACACTTCCAATTAATTAACTGCAAATAATTCTTGGCGTAAAGTAGGGAGTCTTTTAGTCAGCAGGCAAACATAAATAAATTACTATTTAATTGGATTTAAACTGAGTTCTTTCAAAAAAATAACTTTTTTTCTCTCCTATAATTAATACCAAATTGCACAATTCTTTCCAGGAAACTTATGGTCTCATAAAATGAAGCATGACCAACAAAAAAAAAAAAAAAAAAAAACTTAATGTATATGAAAACTCATGAAAAGTGTATTCATGATTGTGAAGCTATTGTGAAATACATACGAGTTGCTTAGACTGCAACGTAAACCACAATGTACTGAAATATAACATTCTTAAATATAAATATGAATCGATATTTTACCACTTTAAGAGATCAGTTATGGTCAGACTGTTGCACCGTGACACCAGGGTGTTAAGCGCGTGTTGTGATGTTATTTCAGATTTCAAGATAGAAGATACGTTGGTAATATATTTATTTCAAATTGGTAGCAGCATCAAATCAGGAAATCCTACAGACAACTAAACAATACACTAAACAACTCTAATTCTAAATGACACTACTCCATACTTAACATAACTTGCTTTAAACACACTTCAGAGTGGACGCAGAAGTTTTTTAAAAGACTTTCCAGACATGTTTGTTTATGTATTTTTGAAGTATAAAAGCTGATTGCTGACTGATTTTGGTGTAGCTTTGCAGCGTGTTCGAAGATACAGTGAGTCATTTGATTGGCAGTGATTTTTTTTTACCTTCCATGCTCAGTTGCACAAAGTTCCTGCATGCTTTAGGAGCTTCCTTGGACCACAACTCAATGTCAATATCACCTGCTGAGGTCTTCAACAGGACCTGAGAGACGATCAAAAAGTGGGACATTTAAATAGGTTATTATAACCACGTCTTCCAATTCACCTATGGCCTGTAAAGCAAAATAACTGCTCTACAACTCTAACACTAAATCTGACATAAATAATGTTAGCTATAGCTGATACAATGACTGTTAAAAGTGTCTTTATTATAACTGCATCTTTCAGAACTGTAGTCGTGCATTTTAATCGTTCATAGCAACGAAGCCAAACGTACTCGACGTTAAGAACTCTAAAACGGAAGTATGTATTCAAGGAATTTGTTGAAAATGAGTATAAAAGAAAAATGTGAAAGTTAAAATTGCAAAAAGTCGCGCTCACCTTTCCATTTGTTGGAGGCTCTTGAATGTAAATATTGCTCATTTTGACACCACAGCTGTGTTTTTCGTCAGAGCAAGAAAATGGTGTTTTTTACACTGACACTTACAGACGATAAAAATATAAAGTGGAAGATATTTTTTGTTAAATTAGCTTGGTTTACAACGAACAAATTTTTATACTTCTCTGTCTACAGCCATGTTGACTATACATGTGAGCTTATTGTTTATTTCCGAGAACATGGGGGATTCTCAATAAAAACAAAATTTATTTATTTGATTCTTCGCAACAATTAACATTTGAATCAGTCATTTTGTTTTTGTTATAACCTGTCTAAATAATTTCTTTACATGAGTATCAATTTGAAACTGTGTTACTCACAGAAAAATTCAAGCAATAATCGCAAACCCCCCTAAAGTTGACTTTTGGTTTGACCCAAGTGTTCCATGATAGCCAACCGTCAGAAACAGCGAAGTACTTTGTTCCACTACAGCCAGTTAGTTACACTCTGATATAGACATTCGTTTAAAACCTTAAATAATGAAAATAAAATAACGAGAAAAATAATTTATTGGTTGTAACAAATTATGGCAGGATCTTAAGGCCGAAACTGCAAACCAGTAAGAGAGAATTCAGAAGTTGAGGCCCCGGCCGGAAGTACCGTAACTGGGAAAGGACAGTGCTGAAAATCGGCAGCAATGGCGGAGTCTGAAAACAATGTGGAATTAAAACGAAAAGCAGATGAAAACCAGGGTGGAGATGGAAATGAAGAAGACGATGGATGGGTCGGACCCATGCCAAGCGAAGCCACAAAAGCCAAGAAAAGGAAAGGTCGGTTTCTGGTAGTTCATTACCTCGCTACATCTCATTCATGTGCGACTCCCGCTAAACGAGGCTAATTAATGCTAACCAGAGTCCCGCTAACTTTTGGATGTTTTTGTTTTGTTTTTCTCAGTTTTGGAATATGAGCGTGTCTACTTGGACAACCTGCCTTCAGCTGCAATGTATGAAAGGAGCTACATGCACAGAGACGTTATCACACACTTAGTTTGCTCCAAGTAAGTGATTTTTCACTAAAGTTGATCATTAGCTTGGTGGTGGAAGAAGTTGCATACAGGTAATCTGATTTCCTGTCTGAATAAAATGCCATTTATTTGTGTTAAATGTCCAATGTTTTGTGTGATGGGGCCTTATTACAGTGTACCTGTAATAATGGGCATTGATTTGCAACTTTCATAAGAATAGTTATATATTGTTATTACTATAAATATTTTTATGTAGAGACCCTGCCCACAAACTTCTTCTTCTTCTTCACATCTTGAAAGGAGAAACTCAAAGCATAGCTTAACAGTCAAAATATCCTCAAACTAACACATATACAAGGAAATGAAAATAAAATGATCATACTATTATGAAAATCGCACACTTGCCTCAAGTTTTTTGACTAATCAAAGTAAATTTCCCTCCTTTTCAGGACAGACTTTATCATCACAGCCAGCCAGGACGGCCATGTCAAGTTCTGGAAGAAGAAAGAGGATGAGGGAATAGAGTTTGTCAAACACTTTCGAAGTCATCTCGGTATGAATTGAGTCGATCACAATCTCTTTTCAGGCATCTACATGGCAAAGTGTTATGCTGGTTACCCTCTGTTTTATATAGTATGATGAATACTGACATTGTTTTTGCATTTTCTGCAGGTGTGATAGAAAGCATTGCAGCCAGTGCTGAAGGGGCTCTCTTATGTTCTGTTGGTGATGATCAGGCCATGAAAGTATTTGATGTTGTCAACTTTGACATGATCAATATGCTGAAGTTGGGGTGAGCCTAAATTACAAAGTATAAAGTATACTTCAGGTATAATTTGTAAACATGAAGAACAGGACAAGGATGTAGTGACAAAGATTTTTTTTCCTCTTCTCTACGTAGCTTTCAACCAGGCCAGTGTGAGTGGATCTATAATCCCGGGGATGCCATTTCCACAGTGGCCTGCTCGGAAAAATCCACAGGGAAGATCTTTGTCTATGACGGACGAGGGGACAACGAGCCCCTCCACGTCTTCGACAAAATGCACTCCTCGCCGCTGTCCCAAATCCGCCTGAATCCCAAATATAGAGTCATCGTTTCAGCTGACAAAGCGGGAATGCTTGAATACTGGACCGGCCTCCCGAGTGAATTCAGGTTCCCCAAACATGTGGATTGGGAATACAAAACAGACACAGACTTGTATGAATTTGCAAAACACAAAACATATCCCACCAGCCTCGCGTTTTCTTATGATGGGAAGAAAATGGCCACCATTGCCTCCGACAGGAAAGTCAGGATCTTCCGTTTTCTAACTGGAAAACTGATGAGAGTGTTCGATGAATCGTTAACGGTAAGTTCTCACACGTGTCTCATCCTGAATCTTTACTGATGTGATGAATCCACATGCTCATCACACATGCTTTGTGTGTTAAGATGTTCACAGAGCTGCAGCAGATGAGGCAGCAGCTGCCTGACATGGAGTTTGGGAGGCGAATGGCCGTGGAGAGAGAGCTGGAGAAGGTGGATGGTATCCGGCTCACAAATATCATCTTTGACGAGACCGGACACTTTGTGCTCTACGGGACCATGCTGGGCATCAAGGTCATCAATGTGGAAACCAACAGGTACGTTCATATGAAGGTGGAGAAAGTAAGAGCTTCAGGGTTTCACATATCTCGCCTCATGGTCTGGCCACTGTCATTAATATGTGGCATTTACTTTGTTAAGTAGCACCACTGTTGTTTTTATATTATTATAGATAAAATACAATTTAAATTAAAAAAAAAAAACAACAACAAAAAAAGACTAATCTTGGAGTTAATAATAAAAATACAAATGATGATGATGATAGTAATAATATTCAGTATCTGTCAAGCCGAGTTACGAAGGCAACAAATTTAAAACCGCAAATGATAAAAGCAAATGGAAAAACATTTAGGCAAAAAAAACAACAACAAAAAAAGACTAATCTTGGAGTTAATAATAAAAATACAAATGATGATGATGATAGTAATAATATTTAGTATCTGTCAAGCCGAGTTACGAAGGCAACAAATTTAAAACCACAAATGATAAAAGCAAATGGAAAAACATTTAGACAAAAAAAACAACAACAAATTCAAGTAAAGTTAAAAAAAAAAAAATAAAAGACAAGTCAAGTAAAATCAACGAAAGAACCTCGCTGTAATGACAATTACAGTAATATTTGACCACTTGTGTCAGAACTGCATCTTGCTCATTATCGGTCAAATATAAAATAAATTCCTCTGGATCTTGTTCCTCAGATGTGTGCGGATCCTCGGGAAGCTGGAGAACATCCGAGTGGTGCAGCTGAGTTTGTTCCAGGGGGTTGCGAAGGCCATGCAGGTGGCCCCCACTGTGGAGATGAAGGCGTCTGACAACCCTGCCTTAGAGAACGTAGAGCCCGACCCCACCATATTCTGCACTGCGTTCAAGAAGAACCGCTTTTACATGGTGAGATCACATGACATTCAGCATCAAAACGATAAAGCTTCAGTTTTTTTCCTGTTAGCGTCTCTGTTAATGCATCTGTTCTCCTCACTGAAGTTCTCAAAAAGGGAACCGGAGGACACAAAGAGCGCCGACTCGGACAGAGACATCTTTAACGAGAAGCCTTCGAAGGAGGAGGTGATGGCTGCGACGCAGGCCGAGGGCCCCAAGAGGGTGTCTGACAGCGCCATCATCCACACCACCATGGGCGACATCCACATCAAGCTCTTCCCTGTGGAGTAGGTTTCCAGCATGGACACGTTGGCTTTGTTCAGAAGTCCTCTTTAATTCTTTACAAGATATAAACAGAACTTTGCTCTTTTATGTTCAGATGCCCCAAAACTGTGGAGAACTTCTGCGTTCACAGCAGGAACGGCTACTACAACGGCCACATATTCCACAGAGTAATCAAGGTACGATTTCTAACCTGTCGATCAGACATCTGACCCCGCAGCTCTGTCCTGCTGGGTCTAAGTCTTTGCGTCTCTTGTGTGCAGGGCTTCATGATTCAGACAGGAGACCCCACAGGAACAGGCATGGGGGGAGAGAGCATCTGGGGAGGAGAGTTTGAGGACGAATTCCACGCCACGCTGAGACACGACCGCCCGTACACGCTCAGTATGGCGAACGCAGGCGCCGGAACCAACGGCTCACAGTTTTTCGTCACCGTCGTTCCCACTGTAAGTCGCCTCCGTTAGTAACTCACCACAACAAACCTGACTACGGCCTCTGCCAGACAAACACTTCAATAATATGCTGCAAGTCCTTGAGACGGTATTTTAAAAGTTGCTGAGATGATCTGACCACGTCAGACTTGGTAACAGTAACTGAACTGAGCGCTGTCACAAAATACTCAGCAGCCTAAAGCTTTTTACCCACAGAGAGGTTGACAGCATGTCTGCATAATCAATACGTTTGTCACTTAAAGTTGATGAGAGGATCAAAACCACTCTCATGTTTGTCTGTTGAATATGAAGCTACATCCTGGAGACAGTTAGCTTAGCTTAGCTTAGCTTAGCATAAAGACTGGAAACAGAGGTAAACTGCTAGCCTGTTTCTCAGTGTACAAACAACAGTCTGTGGTTGGATGAATTAAACAAACAAGGTATAATAGTAAGTGAGCTTTAGAGGTACTGGTAGTTTTTATTGTTTCTCTGCTTCCAGTCTTTGTGCTAAGCTAACCGTCTCCTAGCAACAGCCTCATGTTTAACAGAGTGGAATGAATTTTCCCATCTAACTCTTGACAAGATAGCAGATTAATCCGTTTCCCAAAATGTCAAACCATTCCTGTAATTATCGTTGTGTTTGCCAAAAGAAAATAAAACCAGTGTAATAAACTGTGAAACACTGAATGAACCAATTTTAAGTGATTGAGGAGAAAAAAACAGGCAAAAGAGGGAAAAACCATCAATCTCCCCAAATTTCCACCTTTCTTTCATTCCAGCTACTGGCAGTATTAATATCCAGCAAAACACTTCACATACATTAAAAATAGCTCTTAAATTGAGCTGTTTTTATAACAGAAATGTATCTTACACCCCTTAAATTTAAGAGGGAGGCTTTGACTAGGTGCGCTCCAGTGTGTGAGTCCTAAACTGACATATTGTCAGTTCTTTCTTCCTTTTCTTGGGTGTTGTTGGACTTTATAAACGGGCAACAGAAGATTGTATTCTGGCGATGTTGTCTTTGATTCAGGGAGTACATTTATTCAGGGTGCTGTTTGTGAGAAGTTGGGTGAGCAGCGGTCATTAATTATAAAACTAGGTTTGAAGAAATCCACCAGTGATGCAGCCAGGAAGAGAACAGAGAACACTTGGCTTCCTTCATACATTTATTTTCCAAGTCATTGCTGCTCTCCAGCTGTGCCACTGCTTCTCTCTCTCTCTCTCTCTCTCTCTCACTCACACCAGCTGCCAAGCACCGTGACTCTGTTGTAAAGCTCCTGCCCCGCCTGAACACGGTTATAACTGACACCTACAGTATGAAGCCTCAGTGTTACAGACTCCCCATATCTGTTGTCAGTTGTGATTGGACTCGCTTCATGTGCTGCCCTTTTTTTCTTTTTTCCCCGCAGCCTTGGCTCGACAACAAGCACACAGTGTTCGGAAGGTGTACGAAAGGCATGGAGGCGGTCCAGAGGATCTCCAATGTCAAAGTGAACCCCAAGACCGACAAACCGTACGAAGACATCAGCATCATCAACATCACCATAAAGTGATCGCACGTCATCCATCGTGTCCTGTACAGCCACCTATTTTCTTTTCTTTTTTTTACCACATCGAGTTATTAAAGAAAGTTTTCAGTGCGACTGAAGTCGGAAAGATTTGTTATAATTAAGAAAGAAACAATAAAACAAACAAATAAGGTCAATTAGTTTATTTTACAGCATCACAATATGAATAATTTACAAAAGCCATTTATCAAGTCCACTGGTAACAAAGGTTTCAACGCGCATTGTGCTTCTACGTTTCCAAAACAGCAGAAAATGTTGTCACAAACTAAGTGGAAAGGCTTTTCACACGTGCATTTTTTTTTTTTTATTTGTATTTTTATACATAGGTACAAGTCGTAAACATTACATAGCAATGAATAAGGATTAAATGAAACTGAAAAACGATGGTTCCTCAAGAATAAGACAAGTGTCAGTGTTAGGCTTAATGTTTCACTAAGTTTCACATTACGTTACTGAAGGCTGTAGATTTAAAGGTGTACCATCTCGTAAAGAACTCCAGACGGATAAACAGGACTAGTGTGTGTGATGTTTAAATAGGAATATTTAATATTTTCCACTTTTTGTGTTTTTTTTTTGTTTTTTTTTTGTTTTTTTAACTTTTTTGCAGTGAGTTTTATAAACTCTGAGTCGACTAAGAAACAGCAGGTAGTTCATTTACTTCCAAATGAAACCGGTAGTGAGGCAGCAGACAAGTGCAGTTCACAAATTCTGCGCGCAAGACGCTCCACAAAAAAACGGAGGCAGAATCGGTGCAATAAAAACTGTATTTTTCCCCCTCACACACAGAAACATCCTCGTTCCCGCTCATAAATAAGTTCAGTAAACAGTTTTGTTCTGTAACAGTAAACACTACATTCAAACCAAAAAAACTCTACTGGTGCGCCATTTCAAGACCAGCTGTGGCATTAAATAGGTTAATACACTTTTTAAAAAAAAAAAAAAAACTTGAACACACAACTTAAAAGACATCAGCTGCTATTGCTTACAATAGATGTGACAAGGCCAAGAATCTGAACATTTCTCCATCACTGGAAGTCCTCTGGGTTTATTATTATATTACCTGTAGTGAACGTCCCCCCTCACTCACCTGCAGATAAACTGGATCCAACTAAAGGGGCATTTTCACGATGATCTGAGCAAATAAAACGATGCTGTCGTTGCGATACGGACTGCTCTGCATTTTTAGTTGAGATTACTGTCACCTGTGGTGGTGGCTGTGGTCATGGTGAATAACATGTGAGACAGAAAATACAGATACAGTTCACTCTGTCAGGGCACAAGGAGCATTTCTAACATTTGACTGGACCTAAGTCGACTAGTTATAGATACCGGATGAACAGCGTCGTCTCCTGAAAGGGTTAGAACGAAGAGAAACTAAAGTTAGACGGTGTAAGCTGCCTTAGAAATGAAGCAGGATGGGAGTTTGTTCGCAGTAGGACAGACTTAGATAGTTATTATTTTCCATGTTCCCATTAAATGAGCCTAGAGAGTATTTACATCTGTGTTTTCTCGGTGCACAAAGAGGGAAAGATGACGAGAGAGGGCTTAAAGCCGCGGTGCTGTCTTAAATTTTAATACTAGGAGGTTGTAAGAGAACTGGTGAAGAGAGCTGAGAGGCTGGGGGTGGGGGGTGGGGGGTTGTTTAGGGGGAGAGTCAGTAAGGATAGGGAGGTTTCACTTAGGCCACGTCCAGGACGCCAGCAGCCACCAGCTGTCTGGAGAGCCAATCCAACCCCTCGTGGAGGCCCATCCCGCTGCGGGCGTCGCAGCCCTGAATGTGCCAGCTCCTCCCGCAGCACAGCTTGTGGAGGCTCAGCAGCTCCGTCATCTCCTCCACCGAGACGACGCCGGGGACGTCCTGCAACGCAAACGACATTCAAACCGACGGCCCAAGCTCAGAAAAGAACGTGCTTTACAGAAATTCACCAAGAGAAGGTATGTCGCGTATCCCATGATGCCGTGCGTGCGTCCGTCCGCAGTTGTGGGACGTTGTACCTGTTTGTTTGCAAAGATGAGCAGCAGGGCGTCCCTCAGCTCCTTCTCCGTCAGTAGTTTGGCCAGCTCACTGTGAGCCTCCATCAGTCTGTCTCTGTGGCAGCTGTCGATCACGAACACCACCGCTACGCACGCACGCACACGCACACACACACACACAGGAGCAGCAGCTCATCTTTAACTGCCTCATGTTTTAACCACCATATAAAATCAAAGTTTATTTATCAAGCACATGTAAAAGAACCAGAGTTGATCGTAGTTTTCACTCATCTTTTTGAAACATCTATAACAATCTCCCTGATTTACTCTCCATAATTTAAACTTGAACACTGGATCAACACAAAACAAAACCACGTCTCTAAAGAGTGATCTAAAATAATCACAAATATAAAATACAACATTTGTTTTACATTTAGATAAACAAGTAGATAAACCTTTGGCAGAAAGTACAGCCTTGGTGGATGTAAGAATGCGCAGTAGTCTTCTCACTGCATTTTTATATTGTTGCAATAATTAATCGAGCGTGTTTCTATGTGAACGGAAACGATTATTTATGTCTACGGCCCTTTTCAGCGCAGACGCCCTCAGACTAAACAAGATGCTCCTCCATGATGAGTGTTTTCCCGTCTCAAGGGCAAATTTTATACTCACTGAAACAAAAAGATATGTTTGATTTTTAAAATATGTTCTATTCAAAACCGCATGTGGAGATTTAAAAAGGACTGCACTTCAACCAAACTCCACCAAACTGTGTCTGGAGTCAACAGGGATCTTTCTTCCAAGCTGTAAGTAAGTTGAATCTGTCAGTGTCACATTTAGACAATATAAAACACTATGTTTTAAGTACAGTCAATACCTTGAGTGTTCAGGTAGTAGTGTTTCCAGAGAGGTCTGAGCTTATGTTTTCCACCCACATCCCAGATGGTGAATTTCAAGTTCTTATATTCAACTGTCTCCACATTGAAACCTTGAAAAACACAGATTTATTGGGACAAAAGTGAAGAGAAATCAGATTCTTGTGACTGAAAAACCAAACAACATTTATGGGCAAGTGATAAATGATAGTCATTATACTGCAAATGCACGAACCGATAGTTGGGATGGGTTGCATGAACTCGTCTTGTTTCAGCTTGAAAAGGATGGTGGTTTTCCCGGCGCCGTCGAGCCCCAAGGTCACAACACGGATCTCCATCTTTGGACCAATGTGGACCCGGTTGTCCTGCCAACACAACACATATTGACCGGGTTGTTACAGATATTGGAAGGGACTCAAAGTCCTTTTACACGTCGCATGATTTCATTGGCGGATCAATGCAAATGTCCAGGAGTAATTCTGACCGCGGGGACAGCGTGTACCTTCGTGAAGGTGACGGGGATGCCAGCATCCAGCTGAATGTGATCTGCCAGCTCAGTGAACTGGTGCTGCTGCTTCTGTAGGGTCTCCAGCAAACAGCTGATCTCCTGCTTTGCCAGCACGACTCTGCAGTCATCCTACGACAGAGAGGAGAGAACAACCTTCAGGCCTGACATTGTACTGTGTGTGTGTGTGTGTGTGTGTGTGTGTGTGTGTGTGTGCACCAGCCTGACAGTGTAGGCTTAATCCAGCAGATTATTCACTGAGCTCAGTGTTTTCTGATGCTTCCTACCTGCTGCAGTGTTTTCTCACAGTGCAGGCAGGCGGTGGACACCTGAGACAGCAGGATGGTCATGTCCTCCTGCTGCTGCCTCAGCCAGATCAGCCTCTCCCTGACATGAGCGTCCACCACGCTCAGCGCCATCTCCTCCTGCCGACACAGAGTCTCGTGGAGGTCCGCGAAGTAAGCCCGGACACAGGAGCGTGCGCTCTCCGCTGTGCCAGGGACCTGACGGGGGTCGTGGAGGAGAGGTTAATGCTCAGAAGGAAAAACACAATCACTCATGTTTTAAGAAGAGGTCCGGCGTCATATCTTACATGTTCAGTGTGCGCCATGCCGACCCCATCCTCTACTATTTGCTCCCCGCCTTCTATCTGCTGCACGATGCCGACCAGCTTCCTCGAGTACTCGGACACCTCGTCTGTGAAGGTGCGGATGCAGTGGGCCATGTCCAAAATGGACGCACGGATCTGATTTGCTTCGGTCTCGAGAACAGCGTGCTGAAAAGAAAGGTGAGGAAAACATGAGGATGTCTGTTTGGATGAGGTGATGAGATATATATAGCATGTTTCTAACCACCTTATGTCCCTGGTGCTTGCCGTACTCCTTGCACACGCAGCACATGAGAGGCCCGGACTGACAGGCCTCCTCCAGGCACACAAACTCGATGGCGTGGACCTGATGCTGCGGGCACAGGGTCTTCTCGTGAGGCTTGTCGGCCAGCGGCACCCGGCGGTGTTTGGCCAGAGTGCGGGTGGAGTGGGTGAGCTGGGAGCACTCGGCACACAGGTGGGTGGCGCACACGGTGCAGTACATGGAGGCTGTGTGGCTCTCGTCCTCGTCACACCGTATTATGCACTAGTTGAAAAAGAAGAGTTGTTGTGAGGGGAAGGTGAAGCAGTTTGTGAGGGTCAACATGCAATGACAGACTTCTCCCTTACTTCTCCCATGCCCTTCAGAGCATCCTCCGCCATTCCCGACTGATTAGTGGCTCCATTCTGGAGTCGCTCCAAGAGTTCAAGCAGAGCAAAGTTCTTCTTCAGACCCCAAACTCCAGAGTCTCCTACACAGATGTTGAAATACAAAAACACTGTCAATAGGAAAGTCGTGATTTCCACCCTCCAATACAGAGAAAAGGACCGATCGCCAGAGAGAGACAATATAATGCAATCCAAGGCAATAACACCACGAGCAACAGCCTCACAAATGAACAGGAACTGAATAAATACCTTTTTCCAATATTGTCTCATCAAACCACTGATTATAAGCTTCACTGTTGTTTGAATACCTGGCATGTTCCAGCACAGTTCTCTTTGATTCAGAGCAGAATTCATGCAGAGTTTCGTGCTTCAGTGATGCATGAAAAGTTGGCTTTCGCTGGCTTTGACTGTCAAATGTTATTTTCATCAAGCCACTATCATCTAGATCTAGATAAAATCAACTTTGGTTTGGTTTTCATGTTCTCAGAAGTAGCTGCAGTTTCTGCTCTGAAGCCAAACGAGAAGAAACCTGCAGATCCCTGGATGTTGTTCTAAAGTTTTCTATCGCTTCTGGGATTTTTTGACGTGGAAAGTTGCACCAAAAATCCTCCAAACTTTCTCCAGGAAGTAGTCGGACTATAGTTCTGTGTAGTGCACAAACATTGGAAATCAGCTAACATCCTTTTCCCTATGCATCACTGTAACGCTTATGGCCTGATGGTCAAAATTAGACTCGACTTTTCAGCACAATATTCAAACAACAGGTCAAGATCATGACTCAATTCAAAATGAAAGTTGCATAAAAAAAAATGTAGACATTTCAGACAGGAAGTGAATAAGTTACTACAGTAACTCACCCAGCTCAGTGACCTGTCTGTCAAAGGGGCAGCGGACCGCTCTGCCGTGGAGGGGCAACCGGGTGAGACAATCATGGCACACTGTGTGACCGCAGAGCAACAGACGAGGGACCTTGTCCCCTTGGAGAGAGAAGACGTCCTCACACACGCCACACTCCAGCACCTGTAAGTGAATACACAGCTTGATTAAACTCCAGAACACCCCTACGTGAGTGTGTGTAGAAATATTTAATATTAACTAAATACTGCATTATATGGCCTCGCTCCTAAGTGTCTACTTAGATCGGTGGAGGGAGCCTGCTGGTTATACCAAGGATGGATAGATACATAGATACATAGATATACTTAATTTATCTTTTATTATTTGTTTACTGATGACTAAAGGTGACTGGGCCTTTCCTTTCTACCTACAGAGATCAGACAGGCTACTTCTTTAGTGTCTTAAAACATTCTTTATTCAATCTATGTTTTCAGGTAAGTTACTTCTGTTTGATGATGTGTTTGTTTTCTTCTTTATGTAAAGCACGTTGTAACCTTGTTAAGAAAAGTGCAATATGAATAGTTTATTATTATTGTCATTATATTATTATTAAAATAGCTGGCAGTGATTTCACAAATCCGACAAGGACCCAGAGAATAATTAAGAGTCAGACTGATTAGAAGAGTTAAGCTGTTCCACTTTGAGTGAATTCACTGAGATCTAACACCTTGACTCATCTTGTTTCAGATGAATAACCCTCCTTGGCTTCTGCACCATTTTTTTTTTTTTTTAAATAGCATGTCACTATTTTAAGATATGCAGGTTGTAACTTGCATACGCACTGAGCAACGACTTTTAAAACTGATCACGTTGCTAAGAGGAGCTGCAGTGAACCACTGCTTGTGCAGACGCCAGCTAGCGATGGTAATCCTCCAGCACTGCTAGCGTGTTGCAGGCTCAAACAGCAGCCTTGCGATTCTGCACAAATGTGGTTCATTATGAAATACGTCAGCAGCAGGCTAATCTTCTTATGGTGCCCCCCCCCCAAAAAACCACACAGCTCTGATCGATTATGGATGACAGTTTGGCATCAACGGCTAACAACGCCAACGCAGCAGCATTCACCCAAAATCAGAAGCCACGAAGGCAGCCTGCTGACGACCCTCCGTGCCAACAAAAACAAAAACACACACACGCACACACTCAACACAACGAACATCATATAGCTGCGGATCACGGTGACAAGATTACAACATTACAACCTTAACCGTGTTTCCACTGGCTCCCCTCCCGTGTCGGATGCAGGGCTCCATCGTCGCTACGGCGCCCTGCTTGTTTATTCCTGCTGCAGCGGCGGCCATTCTTCGTCGACAGCGCAGAAGACGGAGCAGGTGCGAGAGGACAATCCTACAAGTTCTTCCGGGTTTGCTCATTACGCACTATTAGCATACAATGCTAATTTTTTCGCCTACTTTCCTCCGTAGAAAAACAATGAAAGTCATTATAGTGTTACGTGTGTCAGTATGTTGCTATGATACCGATAGTGTAACAGAAATTTAGAGAAAAACTGCTATTTCTGCGACGTTATTCTTTACAGCGCATGCGCAGCAAAGTCATGTCAGGTGAGCGTCCCATTCCATCGCTGATTGTCATAGCGTCAGGTAATGAAACGTTAACTTAGGGGCCACATTTGGATAGATTACCAACATAAAAAGACAAATTAATGGATAAATAAATACATCGGTTTAAAGGTTATTTTAAAACATTTTTCTAAGGAATCACATAGTTTTAATGCATTTTACAACTAATATGGCCTATATCTTCAAGACTGTACAACAAATCCAAATAAATTTTTGACTAATTTTGTGGCTTTAAAAAGCGTTGCAGCGCATTAGCTTATATAATTTATTAATTTATCTTACTTATCTTAATTTATAAAAAAAAAAAGAAAAAAGAAATATATAAAAAAAATAGCTTGTTCCTCTTCAATGTAAGAACGTACTGATCGGACTTTACCTCTACCTCTACCTTTACCAGCAATTTGTACAGGGTTATTGTACTGAGAGTGTCGGTATTTTTCCCAATGCATGTGAAAGCTCCCTATTACTACTGACTACAATTCCCATAATACGGCACGGTTTGTCTTTTGGTGATGACGTATTCTTGGCGCGCCTCGCCTGTCTCCAGCAGGAGTATTGTAGCTCATCAATGTTAGTTTAACGGTAGGTGTTTTATTGTGTTGTACTTTTATTTTAATTAAACAGTCTTTTGCTTAATAAGTTCCTCGTCTGTCTCTCATATGTTTGATGATATTTGCAGAGGACGTCGAAATTATTTACCCGTGTTTTGATTCCCGGGCGGCAGCTCACTGGTTTCACATTACAGTGTTTATTTATGTATGTTTTAATGTTCCTTATTAAGTCTCATTTATTCTCAGGTATCCATCTCCAATGGCTCAACAACCACAACAAACCGTTCCCTCCGCCCCAGACTCCCCTGCGCTCGTAGTCACCTCCAACGTGCAGAAATATGCTATTAAGAAGAAAAAAGTCCTCAGTGCTGAAGAAACTGAGCTGTTTGAACTGACCCAGGCTGCAGGCATCACTGTAGACCAAGAGGTCTTCAAGTAAGCATAACGACTAGAAACCAGGCTGAATTTGTGTATATGCTGAATGAACACGAGGAAACACTCGTCTTCCGCTTCTCTTACTCCTCCTCTTCTCCTCTTAGGATCATAGTGGACCTGCTGAAGATGAACGTGGCTCCTCAAGCAGTCTTCCAGACTCTGAAGGCGATGTGTGCAGGTCAGAGAGTGGCCGAAAGCTGCGCCGGAGAGTCCTCAGCTGCCTCCCACACCACGAGCATCACCACAGCACCAGCAGAGCCCAGAGGTCAGTGTCTGAAGACAATTACGTGACTAGATTACAGATAACTCTCTCACAGGTCTTTGCCCTTCTTGTGGCTGATCAGACCTCTGCGCAGATTGAAGATGGATCAAGTTAAGCTCTGATCCGGGACCGTGTAACCACGTCACATATCACAGTCCTGCATAAATATACGCACAGACATGGACATTTAACATGTCACAGATCTGCTCATAAAAAGAGACGTATGTTGATAATGCAAACTCACACAGTCTTCTGGATTGTAGAAACATTTCTTAGCTGCTCATAAACGTGAAAAAACAAAATGTCATCCTGTAGAAAAATCATCCAAGTAAAATCAGAGCTAAATCAAAATATATAATCCAATAATAACACTATTACAATGAAATCATCTCATTTTATAGGAGCTATACACTGTCTGTTTATGTCCGATTTCACTTGGTAACAAACTGCTGCAAATATCTAACAAAGAATAATGTGTGAACATCGATGCCAAGTCAGAATAATGGGAAGTTTTCCTGTTTCTTCTATTTGTTGCTTTTATAGACATGACATTTCAGTGAAGATGAAATGATTCATAAGAGTCTTAAATCTTAATTTACTGCTGGTTACAGAGCAAACTGTTATAGGGAGTAGTAAATGAGTGAATGAGGGTTTGATCTTTCACAGCCAAAATGTCTACTGGAGGAAATGTCTTTAGACGTTCCCCACAACATTCATCTTGACTTATCGACACTGACAGTTCTGCACTTAACGTGTTGAAAATGTGACTTTGTGACATGTAACATTTTCATTCATTTGGTAGAAGAACTTCTCTGACCTGTAGAGCCTCTAAAGTTTCTTAACAGCAGTAAATAAACCGTGTCCGGTCACAGGGGAAAGAGTTCAAGGTCTGCAAAGCACAGGCTCCCAGCTTTTCATAACACAGTGTGGAAAAAGGCCTCAGCTTTCAGAATGAAGCGAAACCTTTCAGCTTGCTTTGTTATCCCTCCTCTTCAGTACTGTACATACTGTAGAAGAGCTTCTTGTCCTGCACTCCGCATCGCCTGATCCCTCTCACTAACTAAATCCCCTCTTCAGTTCAATCCATAGCGAGCTTTTCCATTTAAATGGAGGTGAACTGAAGACCAGGGGTGTACAGTAGAGAGTCTGCTCAGCTGATCTTCACTGTGTGCACTCCACGCCGTTTTCTAATTTCCTTTCTGTCCCCCCCGTCAATTCTATTCTCTTCTGTCCCTCTTGTTTTCCTGAAGAAGAGGACTCTTTGGTCTCTGGAAAGAGCCCAAAGCCGCCTGCAGCTGCCCCCTCAGCATCTGGCCCCAGAGCCACAAGGGTCAACACTAAGATTGTGGTCTACGGCCCCCAAGACTCTAGCTCTCCTCACTCTCAAGGTCCCCTCTGCTGCACTTCGTCCCACACCTCCATCCGTCCACTTGCTTGCCTTTTTGTTTTTGTTCTTTATAAATATAAGTGTTATGTTTGTTTGCCTGTATTACCAGGCAGGAAACTACATGCTGTGCTTTCCCCACATCTCATGACTACGCCGAGTGGAAGCTATGTGTGTATGCATGTGTGTGTGTGTGTGTGTGTGTGTACATGCATGATTGTGTGGACTAGAATAGTAGAACTGTTTGTTTTTAAAGTGGCTAGAAAGTAAAAAAAAAAAAAAAAAGAAAAGAAGATTGGGTAAGGTGTGAGAGGGAGAATTTTCATTTAACTTTTATTTCCTGAATTTATTTACAAATTCAAAAACTAATTTCGACTGCGTCAGTGTTTCGGTTTCCCCTCCCCTCACAAAAGATGCTGTGCCGAAACAAAGTGAAATACAGCATTCAATACAATGGAGGAAAATAAAACTCAAACTGCCTGATTTTCAATGAAAGCAGGACTCTGACCAGATATCAGATTTAATTATCACCTGGGGATGAAGGGTCTTGGCATGGCTGACGTACAGTATTTGGACAGTTAGATATTTTTAGTTTTTCAGGCTCCGAGCTTCAGCACATTCAGTTTGAAATAATATGATGGAAACTACATTAAAGTGCCAAATCTCATCTTTCATTGGAGTAGATTTATGTTACTGTAGAAGGAACTACGTGGGAGGTGTAGCCCGTTTCACACATGGCGCTCAAATTGCAAGGATTCAAAAGGCATTGAACACTTGGCTGCTTGAATATATGTTGGGCAGCTGTGTGCGGCTCACATGTGGCTCCGAGCACACTGAGAGTTTCCTTTAGATTGAGGCGTTGTCGTCGGTCAGTATGAGGAGTAACGGGGTGAAGGGAAGAAGGGAAGAAGAGCAGAGGTATAAAAAAAAGATATCAAAGGTCGTTGATTCGACAAAATCAACAGTCGAGTACTTTGTAAAAAAGCAGGTGCACACAGGAAAAGTAGAAAACGACAAACGAAAAGATATGGAGTCGACGGTAAACATATGACTTGAGATGAATCATGACATTTCATCGTACTAAACTAAAAACTCTGGTGCTAATCAAACTGATTGCCTCTTTGATGAGACTCCCACTCCTACTCGTTATAGACTGGTCGTTGCAGTGTGATGTTAGCTGTAGTTAAGTTGTTAATAGTATTAGTTATTGTTAAATAATTACATATTGTATGTAGATAGATGTGTATAGTCCCATCTCTAGTCTCTGAACCGTCACAGTTCATCGTTGCTAAAAGCACTTTCTGGTCACTTTATGGTTCTTGCTCTAGTCGAGCGTTGACGCTGTTGCACCTGCAGTTCAAAGCAGGTAAGTAAAACTGGAACCATTTCTTCTCATGTCATACATCAAATGCATTTTTTCCATTTCATCGTTCCTTTACATTTCTGAAAGTGTCCATGTTGCCTGGACCGTGTGAAGCTGCAGTGAGAATAACTCGACACTCGCCTTCATCGTTATTGTTTTCTTGCTTTCTGTCGGCAGTGCGCAGTAAAGCTGGAGCGAGTCACGGTGAGAAGAGCAGAGAGGCGTCCAGCCAGCGGGTGCAGCGGCAGCCCAGCGCCACCAGGGGGCAGAAGACCAAGAGCTCCGGCAGCAGTAGTTCCTCCTCTCAGATAAACTCCACATAAGACTCAGGCCAATGTGAGGCCATTTGTAAATATGTAGTTTTTCTTTGCGTTTATCTTTCTTTTTTCTTTTTTTTTTTACTGTGTAGCCTGTTTAAAGGGTTAGTTCACCTAAATTACTGAACAATGTCCAGATTGATCCGGATAATCCACGGATGTCAGTGTGAACAGGTTTTTCGATATTTCTTTCTGGTTCAAAATAGTTGCAAAGAAAACTGTTCACAGCGAGGTCTGTGATGAGCCACAGATATCTGAAAACCTTGGAAAATAAAACAGAAGCTACACGCATCACTGGATAGATACCATGGATGTTAATTGAGAAAATATGGAAAGTTTTCTCTCTTTTTCTCTTTCTTTTTTGTTGAATTTGGGTAAATCCATCCTTTAAAGTTCTAACACAAGGTAAGACAAGTCCTCATTCCTGTTCTGGTTACTGTAAGTAATGTGCCATGTAAAATTCAAAAGTCCTACTGAAAAGAAATAAAAGACAGATTTTTCAATGTGCAACTTTCTATATCACAATTAATCCTTAATAAACCCAATAATGATGTAATTTCCTAATTCGTCTGTTTTTTAGCAGATTTTTTTTTACGGATCCACCAATCCCACTTTTTCTCTCCTGATACAAATTCTGGTAACTCAACTCAGATTCCCAATCCAACACTAGTCCACTCCTAAAAGAACTATTTAGCATTAACAGCTGTTAACGTTCCCGTCTTGCCAAGACTTTCAGCCATCGTTGTGTTTACTAGACAAGAGGTTATAATACGTCCTCTGAGCATCTACGTCTTCACGCAGACTGGAGGCTACAGTGACTCGGTATCAGAAAGTGACGATACTTTCTGACCAGGCTGGAGCTAGCCGGTTAGCATGCTAACGTTTGGAAATTGGAAACAGCAAAATTTAATGCTGAACTTGCAACGTTTCTTCTAGAATGATGTAGACTGAGATCACATTTCCAGAATGGAAACCAAGGGAAGTAACAGAAAGCAAAATACATTTTTGAGCGGAGGGGTCGGGGGCTTTAAAATCCTGTTCTGGAAATCCCAGGAATCATTTTAATCTAATGTAAAATGAGGTCAGGGATTGCTGTAGCACTACAAACGGAGCTGGTAGCCTGTGACGTATTGACAGTGGCAACAGTATTCAGTGTGGATTGGTCAAGTCATGGCGGATACCTGATGAGCGCCATTATTGGAGCAGATACCCACATAATGTATGGCATTAGTGCATTTTTCATAATTGTATTGTTTTGGTTTTTTTTGTTTGTTTTTGAATAATCAAAAGTTATATTTTCTATAATTGATGATGATGCTCAGAGAATCTTAATCCAGCTGTTGCACAATAATCTTTCCAGACGCTACAACAGCAAAAGGCAACGAAAGCTCGGCTTTGTTCTCTCTTTGCTGTTCGGCAACAATTACCTGCACCGATCTCAGAGCAGTGGTCGTGTGTCTTTCTTCTTTTCCTGGCACTGAATGAGTACAGCTGTTGTGTCTTTCTCCTCTTGAATGGCTGATAATATTCTCAGAACCTCGAGGAATGCCGGTTACTCTGTGATGGAGATGTAACACAGATTTGTAAGTGTCACTTTCAAGAATGCCCGCTGCTATTGATCTTACTCAAACTGTCATGGTCTTATTGATTTTTTTTTTTTTTTTTTTTTTCTTTTCTGTCCCATGATAGTGAGAAGGATTGTGGGTTTAAGTAGAAGTAGTAGATACACACTCATCAAGCACTTTATTAACAATATATTAATACAGTGTACAGCCTCCATTTGCTCTCAAACGGCCACAGTTGTTTTCAGCGTGGACTCCACAAGATGATGGAAAATTTCCTTTGAGGTTCTCCTTGTTGACGTGACTGCATCACAGACGACCAGTTCGAGATGTCTCTTGCTTTGTGACATGGAGCGAAATGAAACATCTGGCCCTGTTATGCCTCGGCCTTCAGCCCAGAGCCCGGCCCACGTACTCGCAGATTTGGGTGGATTCCAGCTGTTATCCTCCCGTATTGACTGACAGCCGGAAGATTTTCTGTGTGTGTGTGTGGGCCAGGATTGGTCCAGATGTGGAGGTAGCATCTTACAGTCGTGCTGTATATGGGCCAGATTTGGCCCGTGGAACTGGGCCAGAAGAAAACAAGCATGTGGCCCATGTACTTCCTGCTGGAAGCAGCCTTTAGAAGATGGTAAACTGTGGCTGTAAAGGGTCAGCGGTAATATTCAAGAGAGTCTGTGGCATTCAGACCATGATTGGTTGGTATTAAGGGCCCAAAGAAAACATTCACCACACCATTATACCACCACCACCTGCCTGGACTGTTGATACAAGGCAGGTCGGGTCCATGGATCCTGACGTGGTCTTCTGCTGTTGTAGCTCATCCACCTCGAGGTTAGATGTGTTGTTCATCCTGATGCTTTTCTACAACCACAGTTGTAAAAGTTCTGTCAGCTCTAACCAGTCTCTCCGTTCTCCCCCGACCTCCTATAATTTAGTGTTTTTGTCTCCGTTCTGAATTAAAAACTCTGGAGACCGTTGTGTGTGAAAATCCCATGAGATCAGTAATCACATTATTCCCCATTCTGATGTTTGACTGGAACATTAGCTGAAGCTCCTGACCTGAACCTGCAGGATTTGATGCCTCATGATTGGCTGATTGGACAGGTGTGTACAGGTGTTCCTCATAAAGTGCTTGGTGAGTATTTTTTTAAATTTATTTCTGTTTTTTTATTTTGGATTTCATGCCTCTGTCGTTGTGAATTGTTTTTACTTCCATCACATGGGGGCAGTAGAAGCACACTGCAATTAAGGTTGTCCCCCAGCGTGCCCAGGTCCTTTTTTTTTTTTTTTTTTCCATGCTTTTCAGAAATCTGATTGGTATCGTGAATGAAAGTGAATCTTAAAGGCCTGCATTTATTTATTTATTTATTTATTTGTACTGTGCATATTTGAGACAAAGCGTCCGTTCATTCACACAGTGATGGTATACCTCAGAGGTGATGCAGGGAGAGAGAGGAGATAGTGTGTGTGTGTGTGTGTGTGTGTGTGTGTGTGTGTGTGTGTGTGTGTGTGTATGTGTGTGTGTGTGTGTCTATGAGGCAGGCTGCAGGGCTTTATGTAGCTGCAGGTCTTTTATGTGGCCGTTTGTCCTGTTTATATGTTCCTGCCTCTCCTCTCCTCTCCTCTGCGCTCTGCATTGATGGCAGCGTGCCTGTAATTGATGGCACCATATTGCTGTGGTGTAGCAGGTTTAATGGGGCTTGACAGAGCAAGGGAAAGCAGCATGCAACCAGGGAGGGAACTTAACCCTTTCGCACACACCCCACCCTCCATCCGTGTCCCTTCCCATTCTCTGCCGCCACCCACGCCTGTTCCCCCCTGGTCTCTGTGCACCCCCCCCCAGCACATCAGTGCATGCAACCTCAAATCAGAATACAAATAGGCCCTCTGTGATTAGCTTGTTTACGATTCCTACTGTTATCAGTGGTCATGGTAATGGCATTTTGGTTCATGATCAAGGAAGCTCAGACACCCCTCTGACTCCACTTCCGAAAATAAATACTCGCCAGCTGTTGGTGCTCTCCACTGTTTTGCTCGGAGGAAGCTAAATGTGTTTGACAAAGGTAAACGGGTGGGAATTTATTTCTTCAAACTTGCAGCCAGACTGCAGTTCCCGATGCGACCCACAGGGGCCAGTGTGGATCCAAGCTACCGACGTGGCCTTCCCGTTCCCTGGATTTCCATAGGCATCCACTCCAGCCTTTTTTTGGATGTGTTTATTCTGTGATGAGGGAATTTCATAGCCAGACTCTTCCATTAAATAGGGAGCGTTATCCTTCACTCAGATGCGGCGCACATGTGAATTTGTGCTCGCGCATGTACACACTATATGCACCATTAATCAATAGAGACGATGAAATGATGCTATTGTGTGCGAGGCAAGGCGAACAGCACATTGAAGAATGAGCCAGTCAAAGCTGTTGGCAAATCATTAATGTAAGGTGTTGGTCTCAACCAAGTTCTCACACTCTCTCTGTGCAAGCTGTTCCCAGGTGACAAAAAACCGAGAGAGACACTATTTTAAGAGCTGATATCACACCTCTCTTTCTATTTTTTTTTTTTTTTTTTTTTTTTTTTTTTTTTTTTTTTTTTTTTTTTTTTTTTTTTTTACCCCCATCACTTATATTCCCTCCTGAATCTCTTCCTCTGTGAGAGCACTTGGTGGGGTGTGGAGGAATATCATCCTGTTTTTCTTCTTCTCTTCTCTCCGTCTTTTCCTCTCTCTCCCGGGTATTATCCCTCCCTGTGAACTCTTGGTNCACCCCCTCACTTGTTGTCTCTCTACATTCACTCCCTCCTCTAACCCCGTCACTCCCCATCATCACACCGTTCCTCCCTCCTCCCCGCCATCACCCTCCTTCGCCAGGCTGGCTGCAGATTGGCTATTTCCTGCACGCGCCCAGTAGAGCCCTTATCAGAGGTAGAGTGCTGATTGTTGGTCTGTCTCTCAGGCTGACTGACAGTTCGGGCTGCGCTGCTGAAATGCCTGATTTGGTCAATGTTTGTCTGTGGGGCCTTATCTCCACACCTTATATTAACTGCCTTGACAGTATGTGTAGGCAGTCTCTCTCCATCTTGTTGCACCCCCCCCCCCCCCCCCCCCCCCCCCCCCACAAAAAAAAAA